AGAAGCTCTTGATTGTTAAACAAATCTCCTCGTCAGCACCTTAGGAAATGTAAGGAGAACATGCTGATGTTAAGGCGCAAAGGCTAAGAATACAACTTATTGTATAGTTAGCCCCACCCTCCCCCCCTCCTCCAAAGATGAATTGAATTAGGATGATTCGCGGTAAAAGGGAAGGAAAACAAAGGAAAAATATTACATGTTTTAAGCGGGCTGTGCATGAAAACCCAAAACGAACTTGACCAATATCCAGCCATCTTGATCACGCGCTTGATCAGCAATACAAAAGATAGGGAGCCAATAGTGATGCTTGACAGGAGAACTTGAAGTCCATCTCTAATGAATTTAACTCTTTAGGCCAACATACCCCAGGGTTAAATATAGAAGAAGTTCCTCAAGGTGAGTTTATTCGGCATTGAAAATTCGTTATCATATTAGTTTGGTTTTACTCTGATCTTGTATTCATGTTGTTTCATTTCCCGTTTATTCCCAGCCGTGTCATGATTGCATGGCTGTGGAATACTAGCGCTGTTACAAGTGTTGTGGATGTGGAAGGGTAGGTTAATGCTAAAACCTTTCGTTTCGTTTTTATTTTAATGAAGAACGATTTTATTTATTTGCTCACAAACGCGGAGGAAACCAAGAATATCCAAGTCCAGCTCAAGAAATCGAATTCTAGAACTTAGAAGTCGAAATCCCGGCCTTACATTTCGCGTTTCTTTGACCATTCGAGCTCGAAAGTCAGCCGAAGATCAAGGAGACCTCGAAAAATCCGAAATTCTGGAACTCGAATCCTTTTGAAATCCAAAGATCTGAGACTCGATTCCTTTTGAAATTCAAAGCTCTGGAATTCGATTCCCCGTGACATCTTGAGATCTGGGTTCGATTCTCGTGAAATCCGGAGAGCGTGGATTTATTGATATATTTACTTATATTTTCTGTTTGTTAGTTGCGTTCTTCTAGGTGCCAGGGTTCTTATCTCGTGAAAGGAATGGAGCAGAGGGAGCAGTGTATTAACTGCATGGGCAGAGGTTGGATAACGTGAGTGTAGAGCTCTCTTGGTTTTCATTGGTTTGTTTGTTTGTTTGGTAGACGCAAGTGACCAGATTTGTAAATGCAGCACCAAAGTTAGCAAAAGGAAAATGTGAGCTTTGGGGAGTTTGAAGAACGAGAAAACTTCCTGAATGGTGAGCCAAAGAGATATCAAAGGAAATAAAAACAGGCAAACCGCCTAAAGCGCGGGAAAATGCAGACGGACAGGTCGTGATTGGTTTTAGTTTTGCATCCGATTGGTTGAGTAGTGCGAATTTTTTTGTACCAATCACAGACAAGAGTAAAGCAAAATTAATGCATTCCTGGATTACTCATGACACAATTGAAGGTTGAAAACTGCTTTATCTCTTTCACCTGCTCCTTCTTACTAAACTACAATCATGTTCTCTGTGATTCTCATTAAGGTGTGGCCCATCAAGACCTTTCTTGATCAGCAAGTGAATATGGGCTCGAAGAGGCTGGTAGACGAACACAGCACCAAGTGGCTGGCCAAGAGCATTCTTATGCAGGTAGATGGGTCTTTTATCAAATAATTTCTAAACCAGGTCACATCAATAACTCTAATCCGCCATCTTTGGGTAAACAAGTAGTAACACATCTCAGCAAAATAAATCGCAAATACATATAGAATACGCTAACAACAGTAGTAGAATATTTAAAGAAAAGATTCTGACTGCCGTCCACTCTGCGTGGTTTGCACAGCTCTTTCTTCCTAACGTCCCAGCATACGTGCCCCACTAATAAGCTATGAATATGTCTTTGTCTTCAGCGTCAACAACGGCGAGCAGTACGCGTGTCTGAAGTTGCCCACTAGTGGAAGGAGCAATCAAGTCGCTTCTGGGTCTACGGTCATGATCACAAAGTGTATGCTCCAGACTACCCCCAGAAGTGCTGCTGCAACAACAACAACAACAAAAACAACACTTTTATTCACACTATTCAGGTAGAAGAAAAATAGCAAGGAAAAAAAAACAAGTATAGAAAACAAATAGTAGAAAATATATAATTATATATACAATTTGCAATAGCCAAAGTAGCAAAGCTTTCGAGTTGGCTGGTCCTTATTTAAATTAAAAAGAAAGGGAACGAAGAAAACAAATAATGAGTAAGACTAAACTAATTCACAAGGCAAGAAGTCAGTATGAAAATAGAATGGAGATGTTGCATTAAAAAGTTACTTACAGAAAATTGGGAAAACAACCTGGAGCTTCAGTACTTTGTAGAACTGCTCCCCGAATGAGTAATCAGTAACGGCGAACTATGTAATGCTTTCAGGACTTGAAGTTATAAAGGAGACGGAGTTTAGGGCATGGCCGCGTTTTATAAAAGAAACTGACCATTATTTATCTCTGGGAAGGATTTTGGTTGTGTCGCGATAGAATTTACCCGGTCCAATATTCTAATAATCACCTCCCATTGGTAGTAAATTATCTATAGTCCCCACTTTTATACTCTATTGGCATCAACTGATTTCGGCCCCTTCCCTTCTCTTTGAAAACCTCGTACTACCCCCTTAAAAATCCTCCACCCTTCCCCCGGTAATGAATGAGGACTGCTGTCTTACAACCATGCCCTGTGTTCATGTCTTTAATAATTTTAAAATATGACTCACATTGTTTTTAAAAGAAATCATTTGGTACATCATTTGTTGAACACGTAGTTTACCACGCTGTACATGAAATTGACGCTTAATGTTGTAGTATTTGTATACTTAGGAATCGCACAACAGTTAAGACTTTGCAATAATCAAAACCAACTTACAAAGTCGTGTTTACTGCCATTCTTTGGGATGTCACGCAATGTAACCCCCCCCCCTTTCCCCACCTCAAAAAAGCTTCTATTAAGGGACGTGTTGCGTGACATCTTAAAGAGCGACCGGGATCTAGGAAGGAGATTCGAGATTTATTCCTTAGAGATAACAGATGGTCAAAATTGTAACATTTGTAATATTTTTCTTCGGAATAATGGTGAATGTCAGTCGTATTGCGTAAAGGTTCATCAGAAAGGAGCTCACAACGACGCGACTAATTGCATAACACTTTGCAACGGAGCTTTCATGACAAAACAAACCACGCACTCCATAGGTTCAAAATCGGCGCAATATTAAGGTGTGGGATTAATACGAAAAATTTCCAAAAAAAATGAGCATCACTGTAAATCCATCTGTCCTCCATCTACTATCATTCGGTTAATGAGCCCAGTTCGAAGTTGTTCATCACCCTTAATAGAAAATAAAGGTGGCGAAGCCGCCAATTCGAGTTGCAATGAGAACTCCAGTTTCAAAGTTTCAAACCTCGCAGCTTATCTCCCTTATGCTTTAAAGTGTATATTAACTTGCCAGCCTCCTAGGCTATCAATCACTATTTGATGTTTAGCATTAGCACGTTGCGTTACAAAATGTCAAGGGTGCGCTGAAAGAACTTCCAGTTCGATTGGATTGGTCAGGGGGGAAACACTCTACTTCCGGCCGGCAAGTTCAACTTTTTATTGAGCTTTAATATTTAAGCTGGTGGATGTACAACCTTTCCAAATAAACCGCTCGAAAATCAGTCAGAAAGTCTCCAATCACTCTTCTTTGTTTTTATCAAACACTTATTATACAGCAAAGTTTAAGAACAGTCACAACTATTTTATTGACGTATTTTTACATTTTTGATTATTTACAATTTTATATTGTATAGTTATATATACAATAAGAAACTTTTTACTAAATTATATGTCAAAAAACAGTGCACTCACTCTGCTGGTTTAACTCAGGAATAGGTTCCTTGCTCAGCATGGCAGAAACATTCAAGCAAAAGACCATGGCTGCACAATTGCTTTACCTAAGATGTAATATTATTTGAGGCTATACCTCTATATATTAGTAATAATCCAGTGTACCAGAATTAATAGAGTAGACATCTATATTTATAAAGGATAGCCTGTTCAGTGTAGTAAACACTGGTATCAACGGGGGTCCTGCCCCTAACCCTGCAGGAGACGGGACCTCCATTTGTTCGTCCCTATCCGAGAAGACTAGAGTATCTAACCATTTCTCGATTACAGAAAGGTAGCATATCTCTTCTTCTTAAGACCCTGAGTGTTGGTCCGGCCGGGGCTCGAACCCTCGACCTCCCGCACAACAGTCCAGCGCTCTATCCATTGAGCTAACCGGGAGATGGTATCATTTGCACCCTTTTTATCCTATTAGACTTGATATCAAACAAAAGCTATAATACTTTTGTAATTCTTAACCAAAAAGAGCTTATTGACCAGGCTGACTGACAGATCACACTTAGTGTAACCCTTAAACTTCCGGAAGTGATTAACCTGTAACTTCTCCCTATGATATCCATACATGACCCAGCAAACAGGTAATGAGAATACTCAAACTTATCAGGTAGAAGTTATTATCTTGATCGAACACCAAATACTCGAAACTAATTCACAAAGAAATGTGTAACAGCCAAGGGGAGAATTGACCAATCAGATCTTGGAAGTTAAAGGGCTTTAATGAGCAATCTCTGAAATTTGTGATGTGATTGGTTGTTTTGTAGTTCCACTGACCATTCAGAAGATTCTTGCCGAAAATATACATCACTTTTCCACAGTAGTTTTATGTTTCAAATCTTGTAAGGTATAATGATGAGTCTATTCAAATATCTGAATGCAATCGTAGCCAAAGTCAGACACAACTATTCAACCATCGCTGAGCACTGCAGTAGAGGCAGGACGATCAAATTCTCCTATATTCTCTCCTTCTGATCCAAATTTTGTTATAAACTTTCCACCAAGATCAAATACCTGAACTCTGTGGTTAATTGCATCACAGACCATCAGGTGTCCTGCCTTGTTAACTGACAAACAACAAGGGAAATTGAACTCCCCATCCCCCTCCCCCTTCTTTCCAAATTTGTACAAAAAAGAACCATTTCTATTAAACACTTTGATACAATGTTCACCTGCGTCTGACACTATGAGATATGTTTCATACTGTATACAGTGAAAGGGAGAGGTTAAAGAACCCTCACCCCCAAATTTACCTAAATAACAGCCTTCAGGAGAAAGATCTTGATTAATTTGTCACCTGAATCAGCGATGATTATATTTCCGTCGCTCTCTACAGATAAGCCTTGAGGATCGAGCGGCTGATGATCAAGATTTCCTATACCAGCAAACTGGCTCAGGTACTCACCCTTCTCACTGAACAATTGAACACGGTGGTTACCATTGTCCGCCACTATAATGTTATTGTTTTTATCAAAAGCTATCCCAGCAGGACAGTTAAACTTTCCCTGCATATTACCTTTGCTACCAATAGATCTTAAGTAAGTTCCATCGCTACTGAATACCTGAACCCTGTTGTTATTCACCTCAGTCACTGCAATTTCATCCTGTTCATTCACCGCCACTCCCCTGGGACCGCTAAACGTTCCAGGAGATGAGCCTTGTTGTCCAAAACATAACACGGGTCTGAACTGTCTGGGTGAAACTTGGACCGAGAAAGGACTGCCTCGAACTTCTTCTTCGTTCACTTTGACTTCTGTTAGGCATCTTCCGGTTTCTTTGGCAAAATAGCTGACTTTGTAGCTGCCGTCGTAGTTATCTTTCACTCGCACTTCTGTCGCACAGTCATGGCCTTGCTGAGTTTTTAGTTGTACAGTTACTCGGTCGCGCTTTTCGTAACATTGTTGTCCTTTGGCATTTTTTGTTGTTAAAACAAAGTTCGCTTCAATTCCAACAATCACTTTGGTGAGTCCTTTTCCTTCAGCAGTTGACTGAACCGTTTTGGTCTCAAAGGTAAATACACGGCCGATCCCTTCATGTATTGTTTTTGCCTTTAAGGCTTCGTTTTCCTCGAAGATAAATCGACGCAAAGTTTCAAAGTCACAGTCTATTTCTTCTCGCTCATCAACGACTTCTTTCCGCATGACTGTGTTCATTGTCTTATCTATCTTTGCAAGCTCTGCGTCTGTGCTTCGTTTTAAGAGCGTTTCTGATTTTCTGACTGCTGTTTCGATTATTTTGACTTTCTGTTCCATCTCGATCCTTTGTATTCGCAAACGTTCCAGGGATTGTTGCGCCTCATGATCCGATTCATTGAAGATCTCCTGTTTCTTGGCTTCGATAACAGCGATCATGCTTTCTGCAAACTGTTGTGCGCTTCTTTTTATTTTGGCAACTTTCGCCTCGATGTTCTGACAGGTTTCGTCTAGTTTAGATATTTCGTTTCTAATTCTTTGCGCTTTTGCTTTGTTGGATTCAATCGTTGCCACGGCTTGCAATTTCTTTTCATTTGCCGCTTCTTCTAGCGGTACCTTGGCATGTCCATCGTGAGCGGTTACAACGCATGACGAACAAACGGCTTCTTCACACTTCACACAGAAGTATTCCAGCTCCTTCTTTTCGTGGCCTTGTCGCGAACAAAATTCTGGTCGTTTTAAGGCATCCTTGATGTCTTGATCTTCAAAATCTTTCAGCGCCAGAACTCGGTGATATTTATTTGCTTTGAGTAAGTTATGCGCGGTGATACACTCTTCACACCAGAATGCATAGCACTGAAAACAGTAGAAACTTTGCACTCTTCTTTTGTCGCAGTTTCCACACTTGACTCCAGTAGAACTGCACTCCTTTATGGCCAACACATCTAGTAAACTGTTGATGCGAAAGTTGGTGGGAAGATGTTGAAGATTTCCTTCAGGGACTTGACTCTCCTTACGACACTCGGGACAGGTTATGACATCATGGCGGCCACTGTTTCGTTGAATTCCTGCTAAACAGTGAAGACAGAAGCTGTGCAAACATGGCAGCTGTTTTGGATCAGTAAATGTAGTCAAACACACAGAACAGGAAACTTCTTCATTGAGACTGTCAAGCAAGGCTTTGATATCCATGATTAAGGGGTTGTAAGGAAGGCCTCTCCTTCACGTACCAAAAACACCTAAGAAAACAGCGCTGCCATGCGACAAAAATGCCATTAATCTTGACCAATCATATGCGATGCCTAGAGGTGTAATTGGCAAGCGAGTTTTCTGAGAATTTAGGTGTTTGGAAGAGCGTTATTTAAAGAAAAACTAGACGCTATTGCAGTGTTAACTCTAAATTTCTTGAATAAAATTCTTGTACAAATTCTTATAAAAATATTCTTTTCTCGTGAGATGTGGAGCCATGGATCTGACTCTTTAGTCACCGATGAAGAGAACGTGGTGGTCTTTATTGTAGAATGAGTTCCTTAGCTCTCTTTGGTGGTTTTAAGAATTTTTGGTCACCTGTCCCTTCACACATGTTTGAGATTTCGTACATCAGAACAAGAGGAAAACGGAACTGTGATCTCAGGCCCGTTTCAAACGTCGAATTTCACATGTGCCGAACTTAATACGAGTGTTAAATGCACCTGAAGTGCGACGTTTGAATCAATTAAATTCGACTGTTTTCAATTAAATGCGACTTACGTCGTATCTGCGACCGAAACAGTCGAAGATTCGACTTTGGTTCGATTTTTGATTCAAACGTCGCATCTCATATGTGCCAAACGTAATTCATGAATTATAGGAAATGCGCGAAAAAGCCAAAACAGCACAAAAAACTGGTGGGAGACGAAGGAATTTGTAGTTCTTGCTTTGCAAATACATAATATAGTTGTTAGATGTGCGGTCATTTCTATTGTATGCGGTGTTCGGTTATTGAAAACGAAGAGGGCACTCCTGGGTGGAATGTAGAAAAATCTGGGGCATATTGTGGGTCGTGTTTCACTGAAATGGTGGAACGTGAATCAAGTCAAAGTATCATGACGGAAAGCCAAGATGCCGAAGCAAAAATAAACAGCAAAACAAAAGCATCAGTAAAGCAATTAAGCAAACGCTTAGCAGACGTCTTCGTCAAGCAAATTAATAGTGCGCCTGGGAACTGATATTGACAGCGAACAGAGTTAAATTCGACGTTTGAATCAAATACCGTATTTAACTATTTTAGTCGATTAAAATAGGAGTTAAGTTCGGCACATGTGAAATTTGAAATTTGAACTGGGTGGCCTTAAATTCATGTGAAGTTCGACGTTTGAATTAATTAAATTCGACTGTTTTAAATTAAATGCGACTTACGCCGTATCTGCGACTGAGACAGTCGAAGATTCGACTTTTGATTCAAACGTCGCATCTCACAGACATGTTTTTAAGACAGACATGTTTTTAAGACAAACATGTTTTTAAGACAAACATGTTTTTAATGCATGAATTATAGGAAATTATTATGATTCATTTATTACCCACAACTCACCAGGAATTCTGAGAATGTCATGCGCGAAAAAGCCAAAACAGCACAAAACAAATGGTGGGAGACGAAGGAATTTGTAGTTCTTGCTCTGCAAAGACATAATTTAGTTGTTTGACGTGCGGTAATTACTTTTGCATGAGGTGTTTGGTTATTGAAAACGAAAAGGGCACTCCTGGGTGGAATGTAGGAAAATCTGTGGCATATTGTGGGTCGTGTTTCATTGAATCAAATCAAAGCATCATGACAAAAAGCCAAGATGGCGAAGTAAAAACAAACAGCAAAACAAAAGCATCAGTAAAGCAATTAAGCAAACGCTTAACAGACGTCTTCGTGTAGCAAATAAGTAGTGCGCCTCGGAATATTGACAGCGAATAGAGTTAATTTCGACAGGGTAAAATTCGACGTTTGAATCAAATGCCCTACTTAACTATTTTAGTCGACTGAAATAGGAGTTAAGTTCGGCACATGTGAAATCCGACGTTTGAACTGGGCCTTAGGCAGCGTAAAATTGCTTGCCATGGATGTCATCTGTTTCGTTTTCTATTTTGTCACTTTTATTTTGTGTAAAGTTGAATTTTCTTTTAGATTGCAGAGAAAAATACTCGCAGACCAACCTGCAATCGACGATCGCGGCATACGTATGATGCACGATCCTCGCAGTAGAGAGCGCTATTTATGCAATAGCGAAAATCAGACCTGAAAAAAATCAGGCTAGTACGGGATTCGAACCACTGACCTCTGCGATACTAGTGCAACGCTCTACCAATTGAGCTAACAAGCCAACTGGGAGCAGGCCGTTAAGTTAGTCGCGGCATAATTAGCAACTACCGAGATGCCAGTTGTCTGTTAAACAACTTAGTACTGTACGCATGTAGTCTTGTGGTTGAAATGCTATTAATATTGACCGATTACATGAGAAACCAGGAGACATATTTGACGTGTAAGATTTCTGAGAGTTGTCTAAGTTTAGGTTGACCTCAGACATTCAAAGCTCAGTTTGTAGCGCTCACCTGAGACAGACATGTTTTCAATCAGATAATGGAAGGTGTGGCAGAAAAGAGGCTGACCCTCATTTTTTTGAAGGTGTTTAGGAAGATCGTCACCTGAGACAGACATGTTTTCAATCAGATAATAGAGAGTTTGTCAGAAAAGAGGTTGGCCCTCATTTTCTTGAAGGTGTTAAGGAAGATCGTGACTTCTACGAAAAAGCTGTAAATTTAATGCGAGATTTTTTCTTCTATCTCTCAACATTCCTTTCACTGCCTCGCCCAGGCTGCCTTTCCTTCTTACACTCCATCTGCTTCTCCCTACTAACCCAAAAGACGCTGCTAACACTGCATATCTGAACGAATGGTTTATAAAACACCGAATCCACACAACTTGATGTTCTGTTATCATGCTTGAAATACATACACACCTGAACATATCAAAGAGTCACATATTAGTCACGTGTATGTTCTTCCACGTCGATTTACTGACTGATTTTCTAGATCATATGGTGTGTAGGTCCCTGCCTACACACCATATGTTTCTTTAAAATTTATTAATATGTTAAATTTCTTCCTTCTACCCAAATCCTCTATGGCAAATTACGGAAGTTTTGCTTCAAAGAACCGATAAATTTAACTTCAACAAAGACTATGACTACAAGTGTTCATTGAAAAGGAAACCCCAAAAACTCGACTAATTACGTAACGCCGCACAACCGAGTTCTCGTGACAAAAGAAACAACGCACTCCGTAAGATTTAGATCACCGCCATATCCTCTATCTACTCTCAGTCGGTTAACGGGCTCATGAAGAAAGACTTTTTCCAGAGATGGAGCAAATAAGAACAGTCAAGTTTACCACAACTGTTTTTACTTGTCTTTGGCGATGGTTTGGTTATCAAATTATAGATGACAGCTTTCGGCAACATAACCAATTGACTGTACATGGATCTGTAATGCACGCTCAGCGTCGTATCTGTTGCATCATACATCTGTTGTTGTGGGATTTGTTAAGTAAAGATGGCATTGGGAATGGAGAGCTGGCACCTTTGCTGGTGTTTACAGGTAAGGGGTGTGGGAAACGCAGTGACCTCAAGGTCAGTGCACAGGACTCCTAACCCTCCCCCAAGCCATTGTGCTGTGCTCCTGAATAGATACCTCACTCTATCAGTACCTTTCCTCACCCAGGAGAATAAAGGGGTAGCGGGCTAACTGTCAGGGAAGCCTGACAATTTGCTGCAGGTTAATTAATCTGTGATGGACTGGTGTCCCTTCCAAGGGGGAATACTGAGCAATACTATTAGTTGCCTCATGCTATGGAGGACCACTTGGCTGAAGTAAATTACACTTCTTTGCTAAAATATCTAGTGTTACATAAGAGATTCAGTAGACTTGTGGTCAGTTCATTGGGCTCAGAATTAAGGGGTCTCAATTGCAGCCCAAACCAAACCATTGTGGTGTTTTCTTGGAAAAGACTATATACCTTTGTGTACCTCAAGAGTTGAAACCGGTTGCAGCAAACTGTCAGGGGGGTCTACCTGCCATCCATCCCATCCAGTGGGGAAAGTAGCACTCATTGGCACTTCTTGCAGTAGAAACAGGGATAAGTTCTAGTGGTGTAAGTTAGTAGGTTCAAGAGCAGACTTGACCTTTCTGTTGAATAATTGTTATCACAATTCTAAGGGCAATTTTGAGATGATTGTCAAAAAAATATAGGATTATGGTAGTCGTACTTTACTTGAATCTTCTTGAACTGATTAGAGAGACTTTATACAACCCCCTCAACCTCCCAAGGATACAAATTCAAAGCTCCAAAAAAGAAAATCTTAATCACAAGGTGGTCTCTAATGGATACCTCTATTCTAATAAATGGTTTAGTTAAAATGAAAAAATATAAAAATGATACTTTTTTACACTTAAATGTAGCTTTCTAGTGGTCGCCCAGGAGGCTTGTTGCAACAGATATGATGCACTGAATTTTATGGCCAGTGGAGGTAAGTCTGAAATCACCTTATTTGGTACCTACACAATGCTTAGTAAATGTAAAACTTCTTTTCTTAGAATAGAAGTCATAACTCTACTAAATCTGTAATGAAGATTTTGTCATTTTGAAAGCAGATTATGAATCCGGTTAATTAATTTGCCATAACATTTTGCTTTGAACATAACAGCCTAAACTGGTGTTCTGTATAATTTTTTTTTTTTGGGTGGTGTGAAATGACCGTTGGAGGATTTCAGGGGTTTCAATAAAATTTTAAGCAGGTAGTTGGTTAGTGAGAGTAACCGACCGTACCAACAAGGGGCTGTCAGACCCCTTAATCTAGGGGGGTCTGGGCGCATGCCCCCCAGAAAATTTTGACATCTGGAAGCTCTGAAATGCCATTTCTGAAGTTCTGGAGACCAAATTGAGTGCAAAAGATAGAGGAAAACTCCCTATCAACGGCTAGGCATTTATAGATTATGCTAGCATAATTTTTGGCATAATTCGAACAAACTGGCATAATTTGCGCATTTTGATAATTATCAGATCATTTTTGATGCCATTATTTGATAATTTTTTGTCTCTAGTCCCAAGCACTTGGTGACCTTAATCGATATTTAAAGTTTTAGTTAAACTAGTAGCATTTGTAGTTC